ACTATGACCTGCCTAAGATATTCGTTTTCTCTTCAGCTAAGTGCCTAAGAGGCACATCATGGTATGATTCGTTAGAAAAATCTGTGCTCGTATTAGTGATAATACAAACTTACATCTTATATACCTTAAAATTTTCTCATATTGGCTCAAGATGTTCTTTGATGAAAATGAAATCTTGGTCTCTTTTAAAGACATTTTGGTTACCAAGGAAACGGTGCCGTTACCTATGCCGTCTGCGTACAATACTTTTTGAAAAGTTTTAAATATTTCGGCGGAATTTTTCAGAATTATTACTAGCTATCTCTTACCCCAATTCTTTCTGATCATCATCTTGCTACACTTATGGAGGACATTCTCTGGATGATTGCAAAAACAAAAAAAAAATACCGAACATGCTGAGAATATATTAACCATTTTCTCTGATATACAGAATATTAACGTTTCCCCTGGTTTTCGCCCTCAGCAACATTATGAAAAGGGAGTAGATTCTGAATCGGCGGTTCATGCGTCCGCCTCGTGCTGGCGTACCTACAGTCTCCCAAATACAAAAGCTAAACGGACCGTAATGCATCTTTGAGCAACCTCTGAATTTTCAGTTTCGATTATTTGGATATTTCATGTTGTATTCCTTATAAAAATGTTGATTATTCCCACGATTCTGGTAAATGACTGAAAGGCACATCGTGGTCAGCATCGTAATAAATACAAGTGATGCGATTAGGCAGAACAGTGAATGCATGTATCTGTGATTCTGGTCAATTTGGCAAATTGGAACATAGGTGTTCTACCATTATGGCCAGACAACCAACAGACAAAAAAATTGAAACCTAACTTGGAAATAATCCAATATCTTGTGATTATTGATAATTTGTAGTGAAAATGTCTAAGAGATATTGTGAAAATATTTCCGATCATTTGAAGAAATAAACAAATGTTTGCTTCTTTTATACTTTTATACTTGGATACGAAAGATTCGCTCCAAGGCGACTATAGCTTTCTTATTAGTTTTTTTGTTTTTGTACATTTTTTTTTTCTACTACTATTCTCTGCTCAAGTGCGACCACATTTTCTTGCAATGTCATTTGAAACTAGGCTTTACTAAGTAGAGAAGTGCAGCAAGTAAGTAAGTAAGTAAGTCTAACTAAACAACTTTTGTAAACGCCAATAACATCGATTTGACCTTAATTTTGTTTTTGTTTTTTCTTTTTTTTTTTTTTTTCTTAATTTTTAGTTTTTACAATAAAAGGCAAAGCATCTGAGTCATCAAATTGTAAAAATCTTGGTAAAGTCTACTGCCAAGACTCTGTGAATCCTTAATTGAGAGATTCAAGTTTTCAATGGCAAAACATTGAATCATTCAGTCTTTTTCCTTTTATTGCTTCTCAATTGACCTTAGGGAACTGATGACATATATATATATATATATAATTGTATATATACTTTTTTTTGTTATATAAAAAAAAAAAACAGAAACAGCGCATTAAAAAATTGAATGATTAGAAGAACATAGACTGTGTTCCTTAATTGGAAAATTATTTAAAATTATTTTCCATAATTTCAAGAACGTCTTGATACTAAATTAAAAAAGAAAAAAAAAAAAAATTATTAAAAAAAGTTACGACCATACGGCTTGCATGATATGTGTAACAGCGCTTAACCTCAGATTATTTGATTTTTAAATTTTCACAAAAGCAAACCACAATATAAAAACGACCAAAACATTAATGAATTGATATCTGTTTTCAATTGAATAAATCAAAATATCTCTTTCACTATATGTGAGTGTGTGTGTATACGTATGTATGTATGTATGTATGTGCATATTTATATATAAGTTCACGCCAAGCAAGATGTTTAAATGTTTCTTTTTTTTTTTGTTCGTTATTGTGGTCTTTGCAGTTGCAGTTTTTGTTATTGTTATTGTTATTGTTGGTATATAACCTCCACATATATTTATTTACTCAATATCTATACAGCACTCTCATAGAACATTAATAAATTGGTTCAAGATCAAGCTGTAAGCAATACAGATACACACATACGAGCAAACACACGAGCTCATATGAACACACACGCACACATACACTCGCACTCGCACTTATTAACAACCGCATTAATTTGATGGGTACAGCACGTAAAAGTGATGGCATAAGCTTGAGGAGGAAGAGACGGTGACGACGGAATCTCTCATATATATGTATATGTATATATATATACACTAGAGAAGCGGTTTAGGAATATAAATTCAAGCATATCTATTTATGCATATGTAGGAACATGTTTACTTGCGGCATGTGCATTTAATCATAATAATATAGATTGTTAACTAACCTCGTCCCTGAGGGGTACAGAAGTGCGTATTATTAACGAAAAACATTTATTATTATTACTAAAGTTTTTTTTTTCGCAATTATTTATTTTGAAAAGCAAAATTAATTGAAAACATCTCCTAATAGAATGAAATCAATTTATGTAAATTGACGTTACAGATAAATTAAAGACGGATAGAGAAATCATTAAAGACAATTTCATTAAACAAACGTAAGAACTCTGTAAAACATTTTAATGGGTATCCAAACCATAAAGCAAAAGTTGAATACGTGACAGCCTTACGATTTGCACTAAATGCGAACCCGACCCGGGAACTTTTCAGGTCCAATGCTAACCACTACGACAACATTCAATAATTGACCGAAGGTAATAGTTGTGCTTTTACACGCGCTCCCTGCATAGAATTAGCAGTACAAATGCAACTCTATACAGATTTGATTGCGAAGTAAAAACAATCCTGCAAATCATAAACAAAAAACAGGTGTTTTTTCTTTGAAGTGAGGCCAAATTAGAAATCCTAACTCTGTATGAGTTCTACCTCATTTTTTGTCCAACCACTTTTTTGCCAAACTCCATATAGAAATCAGCAAAAACCTCACAAGTTCAGTAAAACTTCCAACAGCTCTCAAGTCGCTACAGGAACGATTGATATATTTTTAGTTGCTTTACCTGTTCTTGGAAATTACTTGAAGAACAAAATAAAAAAAATAAAACTGTGCAACCTTTTCCCTCCAAGCATTTATTTATATAACCAACGAGCCACAAGTTTTCATAAACTAACTAAAAGCGCTATCGTGCGCAATGGTCTTTCATTAGATACCCTACATCATTTTGCAGGTATTCATGTAATGAATTTCCACAATGAGGCGTGACATAACGCCTATCTCAATCTTAGAGCAGGTGCTTCATCGATATTAATATTTTTTAATAACCAAGAACACATTTTATACGATACGAGGTAAGTTTTTTAAGGACAAAACAGAACGTGTCAAACTTTCCGAAATGATGGGAAAATATATACGATCCAGGCCAGGACATAACAAATCAATAAATATAGTTCTAGACAACATATAAATATCACCACTATTATGATATTGTCCTCGCCTCCCGACAAAATCGGTCAAAGTTTCGTGATATTCCGTGTATTATTTTACAATTTACAAATTATATATGCACCAACGTGTTCATTAACCGATAGGATACTTTGCTAAGAGAACAAACGCAAAGATATATTTAGACTGAACGCCATTGTAAACTTTTGGGAAAATCAATTGTTTTCTCAGCACAGATGCTCTCCCACAGAATCAAGGGTGGTATAAGGAAGTAATTGTAGGCGTGGAAAAATGTAAAATGACCCGAAAATTTGATTGTTGAAACATGGTTGTATAGCAGCATTGTATGGGCGCTTGAAATTTTAATCGAGTTTTTCTTGTGACAGCACACAACATAACTCCAATCATTTTCATTCTTTTCATTCGTTCACGTTATTTATTAAGAAAAGATTGCTTTTTTTAACGACCGCCAATTAAGTAAAAATCAATAATTTAAAAATTCCCCGCATATTTCACTGCATATAGGTATGTAAATTAAACACTTTTGTTTTATTCAAATTTTCGCGCTAAGCAGAATGAATACATTTGCATTGTGCATTATGCGAAATAAGACTTTTTTTTATATGGATTGTGCTCCAGCAGTATAATGTTGTAAGTTACACGTTCAACTGTATACAAGCACATACAATCATACCACATAATGACATAGGAATGCAGGCTGCACGATGCAAATGCGTTTTCATTATGTTCATCGGTTAACTGAATATTTTTCTTTCAATTTTAATCAGTAACTGATTTTCACGGATAGGTGAAATGTGCGAATGAAAGAAAGCAACTACGATATGTCCTTTATATAATGACAGATATGGACAGTCTCGGTTTTAAGTCAACAAAATCTACTTTGTCCTTATATAAAAGGCAGAGTGCGCATATATTCCTGCTCAGGATAGGATCATGGACTAGTTTAACTGCATGCTGCATGTAGTAGTTAGCTAACTTTTCTTTTTTCGGCCTTAATATAAATTTTTATTCTTAGTTCAATTCGATGGGTCATCTTTGCTAATAAGCACCGAATGCTTTCAATAACGCATCGACGACAGTCAAAAAATTGAAACCTTGCGATCTAATTTTTTTTCCTTTTTTTTTTGAAATAATGCAGTGTCGACTCTATGCGCTGACATAGTTAGTGCAACCAAACAATGCAAAGTCGGCACATGGTCGGCATAGAAGCTCGAAGGGTTAAACAACCTCGAAAAGGATTTGAATCTATTTCTCATAATAACTTGTCACTCATGGCAGATATTCATCTGATATCTAGATGAAAACCCTTACCGAAGCCATGATAACATTCGTTGCACAGCTTTTTCTCATATTAATCTGTATTCATCTTATTGGTATTAACCCTAGAATAAATATAGATTTCTTTCGCACTTTTGCATACATAAAAATGGATCAAGTAAATGAACTGAAAAACTAAATTAAATAACAAGAAAAAATTTCTTTCAAATCGGGCAAATTATGTTTTATTTTTTTATTTTTTTATCTGCCTTCTTTCTACTCTATTACTATTGTCATCGCTGTTGGTACTTGTTATTCCACGTTCCATGTTTAACAATCATCGTACGTGTATAGCGTAGTGTATGTTTAAACTCATAATATAAAAACTCTACATAAAATTTTATTTGCAGAAGAAATTAAAAAGAAGAAAAAAGCCTAACACAACTCTTAGTATAAAGCCAACCATAAGAGCCATAAAAAGAGGGGAAAAAAAAGGAAAAATGAAAAAAAAAGAATAAAAATTCCTGCGGCCTTCTTGTCTTTTTTATTATTCTCCTCGTTCGTTACGTGTACAAGGGTCCCATCTGACGCCTTTAAAACACTCTATAAGGTTTTAGTTGATGCCACTTACAACAACAATAGTAGTAAAAAAAAAACAACAACAATAATAACCGTCAAAACAACAGCAACAACAACATTAATGGTACTTAATTTACCGTAGCAAAATGTATTTGTTATGTGCATGTGTGCATTCTCATGCATGTACACATACTCGTACCCGTACTCGTACATTGCTTACGGTTTGATGCTGCTTGTTATTGCTGCTGTTGCCATTTCATTTTGTTAGTTTTATGCTCAATGATTTTTCTAGTTATTTTTGTAGTACAATGCCTTCCTTGCAAGCTTTGCTCTTACTACAGTCAAAACGGAAGTACAGACATATGTTTAAAGGAAGTACGGTGCACGTAAGTAGTAGTCCATATAAAAAAGATGTCATTACATAAAATTTTATTATAACCTGTGGGTAAAGAACGAGATCAAGGCAAAAGGAGAAAGCTTTCGAAAATAAAAATTAAAAAAAAAAAAAAAAAAAAAAGAAATGAAAACCTAAAATGTAAATATGTATCTCCGTGTTTTTGTTTAGCTTTCACGTGAATTCATTCCTTTTAGAAATATCGATATTTTCTAGTTTTCCTTTCCTTTTTGATTGCAGTTTAATTGCAAGAATTTTTTTTCTTCTGTTTCTTTTTTCCTGCACAATATCGATACCACCACCTACATAGTAAAGATTGGCAAGCAAAAGGTATGAAAATTATATTTAAAAAATAATAAATTATTTTAAATCTGTCGACTTTTACCTAACGGTAGATAGGTATTTTTCTTTACTTTTACATTTCGTTTTACTTTATAAAAGTGTTTATTCGAGTCGATTGGAAAATGTCAAAGGTTCTGTAAAAATGAATTAACACTTAAATTTAAAAGCCAAATTCATTCCCATAAGATGTTCTTTGTTAAAAACCCAGAAAAATTAGGAAAAACCTTGAAAAATGATATGTAACTATGAAACCGGAATTCATATGTAGAAAATATACGTATGTGACTGTATATTCTTCCCATCTATGTGAAAACTTGAGAATGCCACGCCAAAAAAAATTGTTGCTGCTTTGAAGCAAACGGGTCATCCAATCATTTTCATAAGAAGCTCATGTCCGAACGATGCAAATATTTAGTGACCGCCAAGTCTGATGAGCAAGGCGAATGGGCCAGCACTTTCCAAGTTTGTACTACTTTTCTTGATATTCTGTTCTGGTCATTTCGTTTTCCATGGCAAACCGTTGAAATCGATTATTTGGTGCGACTAGGATTTAGCAGTGACAGACTTGATCAGCTAACAGCGGACCATTCTACGATGCAAAAAAGACTGTCTTTCATATAGTTCGGGCAAGCAATGCTACCGGCGTATGCTTTTGATTTGATATAAAACTCGATATTTCCGTTGTCCGAAAAAGCATTTTTGCGTTACAATATACATTAGTGTTACGACTGCTTGTTTTTCGCAGATGTTACAACTTTAAAAAAAAAAAACGCAACCTCAGTCACAGCAACTAGGGCCACGTGTGGACGAGTTCCGGTTCTTTATGACAAAAGTTTATGGGTAGCTTATTGTATATATTGCATTAAGAATCGTTCGTTCATACTATATTTATATATAAGTTGTTTGCCAGCTATGACCTCGATTTACTCCACATAGAGACAAACGGCAGGTTTCGGTTCGGTTTGAAACTCAAAATTAAAAACTCAGCAGCTTTGAGATAAATAATTTTGAAAAATGGAAAGATCAATAATTGTGATTGGGTTCTTGTACAGTTGCTGCTGATTTTCAAAGATAACCTCACAAGAATGGCCAAGAGAGTTCGATGATAGTTTCGTTCTTTTTTTTTCTTTTTTTGTAAAACGAGTCGCTAGGGAGATGCCTTTTAATGGTATGACGCGGTAATGGCCGGAAAGAAACGAGAGCGGTCGCAGGTTGGAAGGCAGATGATTAATAAATGCTACGCCTTTATCGACTCAGCCCTCGCTGCTCCTATAACCAAACTTGATCTGCCACTGCACTAGGGATTGAACCCGAGAGCATCGACTTCATAATCACGCTACTTGCCTATACAAAAACAAAATTCACTCACACCAAGTTCCATGCCGATCAAATGCGTATTTCTGCCATTTGCGATGAAAATTGTATGCTTTGTGCGAAAATTTGCCAACTAACATATAAGTTATATAAGTAGTAGACTGTCATGTTGTGTGCAAACAAAGTTCACCTTGATTCTTCAACCATACACTCGATGTATGTAACATTACCTTTCACATATTTTCTTTTGATATATAGAACACACTTAAAAAAGTATCTCATACGCCTATATAAACATTAACGTGCGTGCACATCAATATGAAGACACAGCAGACGTGTTTCGATGATGTATAAGCTATATATATATATATATGTGTATATTTTATACAACAAACTCAAACCGTAGCAAAAATGTTAATATTGTCATTCATGCGAAAAAAACACACTCACAAAGCACAGTTAATGTTCGCTATATAACGCGTGTATGTGTTTTTCTCTTGCAAAACGAAAGAAAATTAAAAAAAAAAGGCTACAGCACAATACTCGACGCGAAATATGTCTTTTTATCTAATGCGACGACAGATTGTATTGTATTGGGAAACTGCAGGAGCTGCACATGTTTTTCAAAAATATTAAGAGCGGACGTGATTTACTCGCGGGATTCGTTTACCCATCTGCCAGCTGAAATCTATTTAGCGGTCTTAAGACTAACGAGACGAAAAAAGTAGGCATTCTTCACTTTCAACCGCTTTAGATCAAGTATGAAAATTGTACGAATCGGTCCAGATATCATTGCCACCAAGTTAGTCGTCTAATGCTTAGTGTGATTAATCTCTATATAAATATTCCCATCATTTCAGATTAAATCAAAGAAAATAGTTTACTCATCGAGTGCGTGATCTTAAATGCGGGTATATATGTTATATAATCATAATACCATAAATATGAATGCTCTGTAAGCGGTGATACGTGTTATATTGTTATTATGCAATAAAATGTTTTGGTTCAGATCGCATATAATGTTTACAACATATTCATTTATCTTTGGTCCATAAAACAATTTCCTCCAATTTTCTTCCGGCCGGAGATATGATTGACGGCCATAAATTATCTAGGACTAACGAGAGTGCTGTCATTTTAAAAACATTTTATATATCTACGAACAAATATTGGATTTATTAAGTTGTTTGCAACATATGCACTCCATAATGTTCGTCCCTCGCTGCCGTTAGATTTCTCTGCCTAAGGTGAAATTGGACAAGTAAACGCCGAGATCTCAGAGAAATTTTAAATCAGTTTTGACCATATCGTCCAGTCCGCTTTTCATCCAAACAGGTTGAAATTGAAGGCTGAAAACTATTACGCTTTTCGGGTTATCTTTATTTTTTTATATATACTATATATGACCAAAGGTCTTTATTCTCTGCGGAACATCTTTTCTTGTATCAATCTTCAAAATTTTGAAAACATACACGAAGTTGTGACTGTGTATGTAATGTTTAGTTACGTCAACAGTAGACAAATAACTAAGAACAACGACCAAAAAGTCGGTGTTCGCGAGTTCAAAGCTACATACACTCACTGATTGGATACACTTATAGACCCACTAGGCTGCAGCCACCTCCCTTTATTTTTCTTTACTTTTTCCCCCTTCTGGCCGTCACCGTGCTATACGAACAGTGCACAGTGACCAGTCATAGAAAAACAAAAGGATGTAAGAGTCATGGAAACTTGCCGTGCAAAAATGGCTTTAATTGGCCGCCCTGGCATGCCGACCCGTAATAACAAAATTGTAATTCTTATAAATTACTTTGTCACTTGAAGCTGTTATCTCTAAATATGTAGTTACCACGTAACTCACGAAAATAACATATCAAAAGTAATTAATTTGATATAGAGCTAATGTAACAGTAGTAAGTGCGAATTATTACCCAAATTGTGTTTAAGAGAGTGAGAATTAAAGAATTTAGTAGGATGATATCTAACGACCATAAAAATGTACTTCAGTCTTCATTCTAGAACAATAAAGAAGCAGAAATTGCTAAGATAACACTTGCATTTGACGTCACCCGTTTTTGAACAAAACTGAACTAAGTACTCTGCCATATCTTTATTAAATTAAAAGTCCCCGTTTCATGATGTCATTTTATTTTAGTAAGTATTTAATGTCTATCATATTTTCGGACAAGAAAATAATTAACTAGTAAATGATAAAAGCAAGCCGCATAAAGCAAGAACAGTGATGAGATGAGTAGCATGAGTAGCCCAGTGCATAAAAGAAAGGAGCGAAAGAGAAAAGAAAGATTGATCGATGTCAAGATATATATTCCAAACTGAATATGCCTTTTTAATGTTTTGGACAAAGTCATATAAATCAAAAGGAAGTCTCAGCCTTAGCTGGATGCCACAACCATACATTAGGAACTGTCTTTCAGTAAGGATAAACACTTTTCGCTTATGTTATATAAAGCTTTCGGCCGGCAAGATCTACTGTTTAATTTAGGCAGATAGTTATTATTTTGGAAAACATATCTCACAACTCTAGAAGCATGTTCCCAATTTCGTCCATGGAGGACTGAAGCACGGTGCATTTACATTACGACGGTCTCTAGCGCAAAGATCCTCGCCGAACCTTCATATCTAAGAATCATTTATGTTAATTTAAAATGTCTTGAAAATAATGCATTAACTTGAGTTCGATATGTGTATTCAGGCAAAATAAATATTAAGGACGAAAGAATGTAACATAATAATGTGACAAAATGCGAGAAGACTTGCATGCGGAACTATTTAAAATTCAGTTGCGACGAATAACTTTACTGCTGAAATAGAAATGTAACTCACTTCTTTAATCCATGTGTTAAAATTGCAAATTGTTAAAAAAAAAAAAAAAACACAACACAAATGTTTTTTCATAAATCTACACGTATATCTAGTCTTCCGTATGCTCACATGTCTCTTAAATAATTGCTTTCTGTATCATCGCATGGCTCAATATCTCTCTCTTTAAAAGGACTTTTGAAGCAAAAAATTCTCTTTACTCTCTCTCTCTCTCTCTTCTCTGTAAAATGTCATTAAAAAGAAGACAACATTTCTCTCTGTAAGCAAAATATTATTACTATCAATGTCTTCTATAACCATAAACGCAGCACAATTTTTGTTGAGCTTCAAACCATTCTTTGATGCTGTTACAACATTTTGAAAGAGTTTTATTTTTTTTTTTCTTAATGGTTCACAGCACAACGAATGCATCAAACTTAAGCATGTTATGGCAAATGTTAGTGGAACATCAAAATAAGATATGTTTTGGTAAAATTCTTTATTATTAGTTGACTTCTTTTATTGGCATTTTCATTGCATGACTAAATTTCAGTTGTTGTTGGACAGTGAGAGTGTTAAGTTATTCGAAGAACTATGCGGGCAAATATAAGCGAAGGAGAAGAAGAAGAAGAAAAAGAAAAAAAGAAATAAAAAAGGTGGATGTATTGAACACTATAGAACAAAGTGCACCCACGCGCATCTACGTTGAAGCAAAAAAAAAAAGTCTCTAATGAAATGTTTATTTGTAAGAGAACGCTTGTAAATGTTTTACCGTGTGCCGGTGTGTATGTATTAAGTTGTATTGTTTTTGTTAACCAGCAACACAGACAATATTTCGATGTTTTCGTTCTTTTTTCACATAAACCCATCATTCAATAAAGAGGGTAAGAGAGAGAGAGAGAGAGAGAGGGATAGAGAGAGTACGTGAATCTTATCCAACTAAATTTTTATTTTCATTTAACATACCTATGCTATGGGTGTTTTATAGCATTAGCTTTGCCGATGTACACTGTTGCAGTTTTTCTAAACGATTGAGGGTTGAATAGTAACATAAACGGCCCTGTATGTTTGTGTGCGTACGGGTTTTGCGGTTTACTTAAAGCAATTGCTGAGCTTTAACAAAGCAAGTGTGTATGTTTGTATGTGTGTGTGTGTGTGTGTATATATATTGGTTTGGGATTTAAAGCGTACATATAAGCAGGTATTAGAATCCTCTTAGAGGTTATTGTCTTTGTGTATTTTTATTGTTTTTGTGGTTTATAACGTCACTTCTTTTTTTTTTTTTTCATTTTTCTCTACATACATATACTTACACAGATATATAGAGACAATACATATACATGTGCAAACGTCTAAACGTGGTTTGTTTCTATGTGCCTTCCTCTTTTGTGTTGGTTTACGTACGTGTGCGCGCGTGTGCGTGTATATGTTTAAGTGTTTTTTAACTTAAGTGTCACGAAGCAGCACAAGTTCTATGAGGCTGTTAATAATCTGGTTTTATTTGCCCACATATTTACCTTTTTGTATTTGTATTTGTATATGTGTAGTAGTATTCCGGTTTTTATTTTTCCTTTAAGGTTTTACAACTAAATGCATCATCCTGCATATGTGTATGTGTGTGCGAAATTTATGCGATATGCATTATAATAATAATAAAGCTAATCGTGGTTTAATGAGATTTTTATGTTCCCTTGAATAAACAATGATTGCAGAATTACTTTTTATTTATTAAAAAGAAAAAACAAAAAAAACTTTATGTTAAATAATCATTATTATTATTATTATGTATTATTTTAAATTTAATTCGGTTATTATTTTATTCTAATTATATCTTGTTATTATTTATTCTTTCTTGCAGCTTACACATGAGACCAATAAACTAAGCTATGTAAGTACGTACATCAGGCACAATGTTTTGAAAGATTTTCTATCAATTTTTTAAGAATATATCTGTTGAGCAAACAACAGATATATATAGAAATTTTAAATTATTCTTCTCTAAACAATTTTTATAATATAAAGTTAATTGCAACCAAAAAACAAAAAAATTCCCAACGCTTTATTAAATGCTGGACGCGTTGCACTGAACTCTCACCTGAAAAAAATATTGCAAATGCTTTACTTATTTTCATGATTGCCTCAGTTCTAGGGCAATGGAAGTCTCACAAATCTATGTTTAGCCAGTAATTAACGTGTCAACCTTTGAGTTTGCACATAAGGCCAGAGGAACGTATCGACAAACTTATCTCTAAAGCAAACAAGAAGATGTTGTTAATATGTCCTCATCTTTCGCTGATATAATACACGTCATATCACAAAAGAAAGTAATGAACCGAGAAATGTAATCAATTGCAAGTGTTTTTATAGACTACAAAATAGTAGTAACTAACAGTAACGGAGTATCGACTCCTGATGAGTTGTTGCTCCGTTATTAGTCGTCTACTAATGATATACAAGCGCAAACTTCAAAAGCAAGTGGAATGTCTTCAATTGAAGGGGGGCGCATCAAAGAGCTGATTGTGCCGTACGTGCAGAAAATAAATAAAAGAAATCAAACGAGGTGCATAGTCATAAGGACGACATGTTTCTACCCTTCGTCCTGACACAAAGCGCATCTCATTTAATTGCATTATATTTAATTGTAATTATGTTTATGACGTCGAACAAGGATAATTACAAAAAATTATCTGAACGGTGATGGGGGCTTAAAATTCGTTCAACCCCTTTTCCAATCCTAATTTATGGCAGCCGCAGTATTGTTAAGGGATTTCGTTCAACATGCTTTTAGGTTCGGACAACCCCGTAACAATCTAAGCTGAAGGAAATTGCCGCTTATTCGGTCTTGTCATATCGTAAGCGATCTAGAGGATCTTTTCTCAAAGATGGCAAAGAGGCCGATCTGCCTTTTTCATCGAAAGATAGGATTTTTCACCACAGCACATATTATCATTATAGGCCTCGTTTGGAGGATATATATGCAATAAATATTAGTATAAGTTATTGAGGCCATAGATATAAATTCTAGGGCCAAAGTAGGATGAGCATCGGCAACTAAAACTATCGGATCTTTTTTTTTTTTTAAGGAAGATAGACCAAACGATTGGCCTAGTCATTTTAATAAGGCCGAAGTTATTGTGGATGCTCTACAGGTATTTTCAAGAAAAGAGGCAGCGTTCGTACTTAGATCAAATAAAGTCAGATTTTAACAAAATATTGCGGCCCACAAGAAACCAGACGGACAGACAAAGTTAGATCGATTTAGAAAATGTTTCTGATCGATGCTCCACACACATCCGTATAAACTTAATAAACGCTTGTGCCATAAGCGACTTAGGGTATAAAGAGACTGGCAAAAGCTGACGTAAAAAGTAACAACAAATTGAAAATTTGTAAATATAGCTGTCAGTAACACACGAGCTATTGCTGATATCGATTTAAAATGTAATGACACGCCCACCTTTAATGGCTTTTTAATAGAGGTCAGCTTGTAATTCTCTTACATATTCACCTTATCGTCATAGTATGCCTACAGTTTACAATCATTTTTATTTCCCAAGGGTGTTAATCAAACGAGAGCAATTTTCTTCAAATTTAAGGGTACATCGATTGGCACAGCTTTCGATTGTCAAAAGCAATCTTTTCATTAATAAAACACTCGAAGTGATGTGCAATTAAGAAACATCGAAATGTTCTCAGGCATATAATCGATCAAAGCTAATGTTTTTTGAAATCGTAAATTTCCAAAAAACTCGTTTAATTTTTTTTTAAGTTTCCTACATAATGAAACGTTTAGTTGCAATGATAACGAAAACGTAAATGATGTAAGCTACTCCCAAACTTGAAAGAAAAGAAAACAGTAGGACATTAAAAAAAGCATAAAATGGATTTTAACTTTTATGCACATACATATAAAAAGAGTGAAATAAAAATTGACTTAACTTGCCTGATGACACGTAGTTCGGTTGGTCTGCATATTTACTCATTGATGGTTGTTGATGGTATAAGTAAACCGGAAAAGGAAACGGATGTATGCAGGAAATATACTTTGTGTGTGCGTGGAATGTGCACAGTGCAAAATAAAGCAAACGTAACCTTCACTTTATGTTTCATTTTAATGTAACTAATAAAAATGCCAGCAACGTGAAAGGGAGCCTCTCCGCACTTGTTACTATACTTTTAATAACTTCGTTAATATTTCGTAAGTAAATAATAGAAATTTAATAGCAAAAATTAGAGCCTTTTTTTTTTTGTTTTCGATTTTATGAAACATTAAAAAAGTTGAATATTATCCGCAGACCGGATGCAGGTTAAGTTCAGATTACAATCACGGGCGTTACAGACTCATTTACAAACAGTAGACTCGTTGCGAACAGTTTGCTTTGTTAGAAACAAAGTAGAATGGCATGGTGTTAGGAAAGTTGCCCGCTACAATCCTGTTACAATTTTACTTACGACTTGAATGGGAATTGAAAAGAACAACTTGCATGGTGTGAATGATGCGTTGCTTGAATGCTTTTGAAGAATCTAGAAACTAGAAAAATGGAGTCTTTATTTCTCCATCCTGATAAAACACAAATTTCAAGGATCAAGTTAGAAAATGGACAAAATCCGCCTTTGATAAATAAAAAAATGTAGGAAAGACGAAATTTCAAAATAATATTTTAAGATACGTAACCGTTCTAGAGTTCATCGTGGAATTTGGTGCAACAACAGTGTAGACCGTACTTCTGAAACATATACAATTAGAAAAAAATCGTACGTTTGCTAAATGCAACGCACATGAAGCCAAGGCTTTTTTTACAGGAGTAAGCGTTCCATATTGAAATCTTAATCACTATAAAATAACTCCTGAATTTAGTCAAGTTTAAAAATTAATGCACAAAGATGAAAATTGCCGCATAAATAAATCAGATTGAAATGAATAGCACTGGAAATGAATTTTTTCTGCACAAAACGAGTTTACCTAAAGCAAAAGAAAGCTATGAAAAGAGCTTTAGAAGCTAGAAGATAGCGCCTTGTATTAATAAAATGACGCCCAATTTATGTTAAAGCTTTCTTCGAATTCGGTTGAAAAATAATCGCATAATGTTTAGACTTTTTTGTTGTGTATAAACAATCGCTTAGGTGATGTCTCTTTATTCGTATGTTTTG